TGTTTTCTGGGAGACGCGGCTGCGTAGCGGAGTACACGCACCCAGCCAAGATTTTGAAGCCCCTCGTGTGGTTGCGAAGTGCGCAATTGTCGCCTTTGTCGTGGGCTCGTGGGCGGCACGGCGAAGTAGCGGAGTGCACGGGCCCAGACGGGACCTCGCAGTTTTTGTTGCGTGGTTGCGATTTGCGCAATTGTCTCCATTTTCGTTGCTCCTTGGGAGGCACGGCGGAGTCGCGGAGTACGCGCACCCAGACGGGATTTCGTAGCATCGTGGGTGGTTGCGAACTGTGCAGCCGTCGCCATTTTCGTGGGCTCGTGGGAGGCACACGGCTGCGTAGCGGAGTACGCGCACCCAGACGGGACTTCGCAGTTCTTTGGGCGGGTGCGAACTGCACATATGTCGCCACTATCGTTGGTTCTTCAGAGGCGCGGCTACGTAGCGGAGTGCGCGCTCGCAGACGGGATTTCGCAGCTCCATGGGTGGCCGCGAATTGCGCAATTGTCGCCGATGTCGTGGGCTCTTGGGAGGCATGGCGGAGTGGGCAGACCCAGCTGGCGTCTCGTTGCTCCCGGGGGGGGGGGTGCGAATTGCGCAAATGGCGCCATCTTCGTGGAAAACCCCTCAGAAGACGCGAGGCCTTCTCCTTCTCCCTTCCCCTTCTCGCTCGCCGCCGATGGTCGCCTTCTGACGAGCACGGTGGGCCTGCACCGCAGCAGGCAGCGTGCCGGCATCCCCCCTGCAGCGCTTGCCAGGAGCCAGGGCGGCGTGGGCGCGGGGGGCGCCCGCACGGGATCCGCATGTTGGTGCAGAGTGCCTGCAGTGCTGCCTCAGACAGCACAGCAAGCACTCTGCACACGCGCTGTGATGCACGCGCTCCACGTGGCGTGCCAATACGTTGCTGCATCATGATACGGGTTGCAGCCGCTTGACTGGCCAAGCGCGGATGTGTTATGCTCTGTGCCGGCGAACCCACCCACCCGCCCAGCCACATAACGCGCGTTATGCCCAAGAATAAAAACTTGAGCTCCTGGTGCAAGGCTTCAGTCGGGCCTGTCCCTCCACAGGAGAAATATCCCAAAATAGTAGAAAATAGTCTGGGGACGATTGTTTGACTATGTTTGAACATTTTGGGGGCATTTTTTTAAGTATTTTGAATTTTTCGCCCCGAATCCCCCTGTAGGGGACACGCCCGACCTAATGCAAGGCATGGTTGGAGCGTGTTGGCGTTGCACGCAGCAGGCAGCATCGTGGCAGCCCATGCAAAGAAACCCCCTGCTTGCCTCCAGGGTGCCCTCGCTTCTTGGGTTCCGACGGCTTTGCTATGGGAAGCGGGACGTTCCCACTCCAAACATCAATGGACGTCCTGGGATCGCAGGGTTGGGTTTCTTGTGGAAGGTTTCTTGAGGTCGAGCTCCTACTGTGTGCCGCCCCCCTCGCCATCCCTGTGGAAACTCAATGCGAAGTGAGCACGGGGCGCCCTCGCATGATCCAGATCTTGGTGCAAGGTGCATGTTGGCAGATGTGTTTGAAAGGGGTGGTGGGGGGGGCCTTGGCCTGCGCGCGGTAAGCAATAGATGCCGACAGCCTGGCCGCCTCTGTCAAAACCCAGTGCGAAGTGATCGCAGGGTGCAGCGTGCGCTTCGTGCTGTTTTTCGCAAGGGGTGGTGGGGGGTGGTGGCCTGCACGCAGCGAGCTGTACCTGCTGGCAGCCCCGCCGTCCGTCCAAAAAACACTGGTAAGTTGTCGCGGGGCGCCCGCGCATGCTCCAGACTTGTACTGACTGGTGGGGGGGAGGGTTTGGCATGGGTGTCGCGTGGGTTCGGTTTGGCTGCCTGTCGGGTGGGGGAGAGGGTGTTCATGCGTTCTTGTGTTCGCAGACGAGGGCGGGCGCTTGTTCAGCAGCGAGCCCAAACCGATGAGACTATGATGGCGAAAGCGCTGGCATTTCTGGAACAGTTTAATGGTGTGAGCGTGTGAGGCCGAGCCCCAGGGCCTCCTAAGACGTACCATAAGTCCGCTTGGGTAGTCTCGTGGCCAAGTCGGGCCGGGTTGAGGCTCTCGTTGGTTGTCACGCGACGGCAAGGCCATGCGACGCCACGCAGCTCAGAATGTTGTAGTCCTGGCTCTTTTACAGAGCGACCGCAGTACTCACCACAGAGACTTCGATAGTAGTCGAGGGCACCCCTCTTTGTGCCTAATGGCGCGGCGGCGGATCTTACACCCCACACGTTTGTTCATAAACCGTAGCGCTTCCGAATGCCGCGCGATTCAGCACCATGGTGCAAGTTGTTGCGCATTCTGATTCGTAGCAGTAGTAGCTATAGCGCTGCTACTCAAAATAGTCCTAGCGCTGAGACTACTAGCACGGTCAGTTGCAGAACAATGGGCAGTAGTAGTGTGAACGTCAAGTCTCAGTAGTAGCAGGTGTGGCAGTAGTAGCCGTGTTTCTGACCATAATACGTGCACGGTTGTTGTACAAAAGTGGTTGCGCAATGTGTTCGGTTATTGTTCGGATCTGTTACTGTGTTGTTGCCCCGTATTTTAAGTGCATGCGCATGGTAGGGGGGACAATGGCATAATGTTTGTTGCAAAATGATTCAGTAATCCGTATTTGTGTTCCCAGGATTGTGTGCCAGTATTGCGCTGCCTCTCATTCTTGTTTGTCAACGCGTCCTACGAGTTCCAATTGCGTGCGCATCTTGGCTTTACCGCAGCCGTTTGGCTAGCAGTCATGTTTCGCGCTTATTTGAAGGCTTTCGCGGCAGGGGTTCAAGTGCCAGCGTGGGTCAACAATGCAGATGGGGAGTGGTGTTGCTTGCAGCAGGGGCAAGCGCCTGTCTGATCAAAGTAGATGTGTACGAGCTGCATTTCTGGACGAACCCGCCAAGTGCAACACACCAAGGTCGTTTCGGCGTGTTGTTGTCCGCGCGAAGCTGGAGAGGAGGGCGCCAGCTGTTAGATTTCAGACGAACGCGTCGAGCGCGCCCTCGCGCCAGTGAGCGGCATACCGTCGTCGGCTAGTCGTGCATATGTTTGTGTCGATGCCCTTCGCCAGGCATTCTGGTGTCAGGGCCTTGTTCATGGTTCCTAGGAGTTGCGCGCTCGGTACCACATGCTTCGTAGTGGTAACCAAAGTACTGATGCGGCTTAATCTAATCTATTTGGACATGGTTGGTTGCTTTTATCGTCGTCCTGGTTGGTCCTGGCTCCGCATGCAAGCCAGAATATAGGGGCCCGAGGTCCGTCTTTGGATGGCATCGGATGGCGGATGAGCATTTTCTGAGGCGCGTTGAAGACACGAGGCGCCGTGCCCTCACGATCACGGAAAACATTGCCATTTGCGAGATGGTCCTCCATCCTTGAAGTTCGCAGGGGAGTGTCGCCAGAGTTGGGCCATGCTGCGAGAAGGCGGGCCACAGTCTTATCTCTATGATGTGTGCGAAGACACTTCGAGTGTCTTCGCACGCGCACGTATGTATCTGTTTATGTTTGTGTCCACATTCACCAGCTGTTTGAGCATCGTGATCAGCACAGGCTGGTGCCACCGAGGTCTCCCTAGCAGACTTGGCAGAATCAGCCTGAAGCCGTGTGGAAGACAGCGCTACAATTTCGTTGCGCCTCGCACCCGGAACGTTGCGCGCTTGTCGCGCCGTTTCGAGTGGGCTCAGTGGTGGGATGTTAGGGGCTCTTGGGAGCCTGACGGGAGTCGTGTGGTCATCGTCGGCGCAACTTTCCGATCAAACATTTATGAGGCAGCTCGGCAGAGCAATTCTGTGTCGTGAGTCCGCCTTAGAGCCTTCTTGAGGCGTCTTGGAGTCCTCGGGCCGTCTTTGGGCGCTCGCTGGGCTGTTTTTGGTATGTCTTGCGGGCTTCCTTTGGATCTGTGGAGCCGTCTTGGGTCTTGATCTGCTGTCTTCCCGCGGGCAAAAGAAGGCAGAACAATGCAGGAAACAAACCGCGTGAGGAGAACCCAGAGGAACCGAGGAGGGCCCGCCAAAGGCTCAGGAGGCCGCAGGAGTCAACACGAGGGATTTTCGGAGGGTTCTGGACCTGGGGGGGCCCAGGAAGCTCCAGGAGAGACCTTTCGACTGCAGCCCTGGTTGGTACGCCCGCGTGCACGTCGCGGATCTAGTCCGGCCTATCCGTAGACACATGGGGCGTTCCAAGAAGAGCATTGCCTTTCAGGATCGAAGGAGTTGTCATCTCTTTCGCGGCGGAAGGCGGCGGAAGCAAAACGGGGCTGCCTCCGCCGGCGGAAGGGCGGCGGAGGGGCGGCGGAAGCAAAAGATGCGCCCCCAAGAGATTAGCATGTTTTTGGGTTCAGGGTTTCCGAAATCGGCCACATGTCGGTTTTAAGTTTGGATGTCGAGGAGGTCCCGGTGGGCGCGCATGCACAGGCCGATGTCCGCCGAACCAGGGTGATAGTTTTTTTTTGGTTTGCGCACCCACTCTCGTATGTGGTGCCCCCTACTGGGCTTACACAATCGAACATATCGGAGGTTGATAGACCTCCTACCCTGACACGTCGATTAGCGAATTGGCCGTTTTCGGTTCGCGAGAGGGCGTCGCGGCCGTCATTCTTGCGGGTCCAGGTTCGTCGGTTTCGGTCCGAGGCCGTTTTCATTAAAGGGTGGTTTACCAAAGGGAGGTTTGTCCACCGCTGAACATAGGGCTTGATGGACACACGATTTCTACGCAGACTGCGTTTGTTTGACCGAGCGTGTTGCATCAACAGCTGCTCTCTGCAAGAATATGATTGGGACGATATGGTGGCCAGCGCGATCAAACATATTGCGCGGTCACATGTTATTTTCGAGCATGGGGTTTGCGTCACAGTTGGGTTTGTAATTGCGCAACCGTCGCGTTTGCCTGATCATCCTCTTGCTCAAGAAACGACTTGTTCGAGCATCTGGTGTGTACGATCTTTCGGTTCGTGCGATGATGTTTGCGTCCCTGGCGCATCTGGATGTACACCAACGTTGCCATGATTCGCAGGGCTAATGTCGCATGTGTGCGTGGGTGTCTCATTTGCGTGTTCACTGCATGCGCATTTTGACCGTAAGCAAAGGGTAAATTCGCGTCGCGGGCTGGGACAGGCTACTGGCCAGGGAGCTTTAGGCTTGGCGCCGAAACACCACGACGCTCAGAAAAGGAAGAGAAGTTCCAGCGCCAGCGCTGGAGGCCCTTAAGCTAGAGGGGAGATTGGAGACCAGGAGGGCAGGCTGCAGGGAGGGGAGGGGAGAGGAAGGGAGAACGGAGTTATCGACGAACATGGGAAAGATTCCATGGGAGCCCGTTATGGCTTTTGTTAGGTAGATATTCACATCCCTATCCCGTGCCCATCGTTTGAACTCTTCGGAGCCGTATTGTCCAGCTGCTTGCGGCAAACGGACCCCGCCACCGTGCTTGTGCAACAGCGTAGCAGAAAAAAGTTTGAATTCTGAATGCTTTGCTTATCCCCACCGGTTTCGCTCCGTGCCGCATCCCGGACGCTGCGTCCACTCCCTGACCTTTGCCTTGGAGCCGCGAACCAAAACAATTATCCCCGCCGGTCCATCCAGGAAAGATGCCCAGGGGAGCTGCCCTCATCGGGGGAGCGTGGTATCATACATCCCCAGGCCGAAAGTTTTTTCCTCTTGGATTGAAAATATGACAACATCAAAGGATCCATTTGGATCCCTTTTCGGGTGTGGGAGAGTTTCGTGGATCCTATTTCAGTGTTGCGCGGATCCATCTTCTCCTGTGTGTGAAAAAAAACGATGGATCCATTTATTGCCCGGGAATAAGTATAACATAGTAATTAACATCCTGTGACCCAGGGGAAATTGGATCCGCGGAGCACCGCAAGTGAAGCATCATGCTATCCACGGAACTGTGGCTCTGCAGACCAATGCTGTGATTCTACGGGGGAGGGGGGGTCTTCCCAAGATGAAGAGGGGAAGGACGAGGGAAGAGGTAAGAGGAGGTGGGAGGAGAACAGAGGGGACGCAGGGGGGGAGAGAGGAGGAATAATCAGGGAAGAGACGGGGGGAGGAGGAAGGAAAAGGAGAAGGAGGATGAGGGAGGAGGAAGGAGAGAGGAGGGAGGCGGACGGACGAAGGAGGAAGGAGGAGGAGGGAGGAGGCGGGAGGAGGAGGGGGGAAGTGGGAGGAGGAGGAGGAGGAGGAGGAGAAGAAGGAGGAGAAGGAGGAGGAGGAGGAGAGGAAGGGATGAGGGAGGGCGAGGACACACAAGCAAAGTGTCCAAGTCGGAAGCTCGAGCGCCACAGCGGGCCCGGCCACCTCCCTTCACTTCTCCCATAACATGTCGTTGTTCTCACCTGAACGGCGCGTCGTTTCCGACATGTTGGGCTCAAGAGGAAAATCTTTCGGCCTGCGGAAGTATGGAGAAACGGGGGGGGGCAGCCGTTGGCCAGAGGTTTTTCTGAAGTTTCTCGGGGTCTCTTGCCGTGTCCCTTGAGGTCTTAGATGCTTCTGGGGGGGCGTTTTGGGGGCCTCCAAGCGGTTCTTGCGGACCTCTTGGGGCGCTATGGGGGCCTTGGAAGCCTCTGGGGACGTCTTGGGGGCTTTTTGGTGCTCTTGAGAGGTTGTTGGGGCGTCTGGGGGGGCCGCTCGGGAGCTTCTCGGGGGCCTCATGGGGGCATCTTCAGGGCCTCTTGGGGACCTCTTGGGACCTTTTGGGCGCCCATCGGGGGGACCTGTTTTGAACCCCTTCGGCTGGCATGTTCTGACCCCCCTCGGGGGGGCCTGTTGTCGGCTCCCGATTTTGATATATGTTTTGTAGTGGCAGAAACTGTCCCAACATCAGCTCCAGACAGGAGGGCGTGGAATGCTTGGGGCGGTTAGGATGAAGGGGGGATCGGCCCTGGAAAAAATGAGAAAACTTTACCGTATTGCAGAGGAGTATTCCAACAAGTCCGCTCCGTGCAGGCACAGTGTTGGATGGTGGATGCATCTGCCAGGACCCTCCTTCAAGCGTCTCCTCCGATCTTATCTTTATCGGAGGCTGGGAGGTGAGAGCAGAGCGACACAGGGAACTTGATCCCGAATTCGACTCGTGCCGCGAGTGGCGCGAGTGCGGGCGAGGCGACGCTGCGCCATCGGGCCCAGTGGGGGCCACTGGCCGCAGCGGGGGGCAGGCCTGCAAAATTGTTCTCTCCGCCTCCCGCGGTTGCGGGCGGGTTGTCTTGCGGTGGTCCCGCGGCCGTTTCGCGGTTGTCCCATGGCTGTCTCGGCGCGGGTTCCGTCCCGCTCCGTTTGGTCGATTCGCCAGGCGCCGTTGGAGGACTCGAGGCAGCTCAAGACGGGCAAGTTTGGCCCAGGAGCATCCCACGAGCGCCCAAGAGGGATCCAGACGGCCCCAAGAGAGCCGCAAGATGCCCCAAGATAACGCCCACACGGCCCAGGACGACGCATAGAGGTCACCCTTGACGCCATCACGCATCAAACATACATCAATGTCCTACATGTTGGCGTACGATCGATTCGCTGTACAATGGAAGGGAGTTCAAGAACGCCCGCAGGGGGTCAGGTCTTAGTGGGCCCTGGAAACGACAGGGCCGTTTTTGCTACCGGTTCCGTTTTGCAGTTGTTTGCCAGTTCCGACGCCTTTTAGTTGTTGGTTCTGTCGCCGCTGTTTTATTGGATCCGGCTCCAGCTCCAATCCTGGAGCCGTTTTTGTTGCCGTTTCCAGTCGTTTTTTTTGCTTGTTTTTTTTGTCAAGACAGTGTGTCGGAAATTGGAAAAAACGGCCCGGGGTCCACTAAGGGTCAGATAATGTCCCGAGACGGCTTTGGATTACCCCAGAAGTTTTCCACATCGTTCAAGATGAACCCGAGACGACCCACGAGGCTTGATTAGGGAGAAGGTAGAAGAACGACACGGGTTAGGACTGGATCACAAGCGCCAGACGGATTGAAATAAGATTGTATCAGAAGGATCAGAAGGACTGGACAGACTAGAAGTGGTCTAGGTTGACGAGTTAGCTTGATGTTAACAGCCTGAGCCATGAAAATATTGCTTACGAGCGTGCATCCCAAACAGTGAAATATTGCATGTTGTGTGTGAACCATATGGTGCGAATGCGGTGCAAGGTATGCGCGCTGCAAATAGTATGGAGTACCCTAAATATATTCGTATTGCCTGCGGTTATGTATATACATATATATAAGTGGTAGAAATAGTGGTTCATAGATGCAGGTGTTCAAATATTTCGGGTAATCTAGGCATACGTGCGTGCGTGGCGCAAGCTATGTGGTGTAAGCAACGCGTGTAACCAATGTGTGGTGCAGGCTGTCGGGTGCGAGCTCTCCAGTGCAAGCTGTGAGACGCGAGCAAAGTGTTCTGCAAGCAGTGTAGCGCAAGCAGGGCAGTGCAGGCAGCGCGAGGTGCCCACGAGGGGCCCAGGGCCGCCCACCAGGCGAGACGTTGGCAGACCCGGCCGGCTCACGGAGCGCCCGAGAGGCGCCCGCGGCCGCCGAACCAGGCGAAAGTTCGGCGGACCCGGCCAGCGCGCGGGACTTACCAGCCTCGAACGTATCCCTACCCCCAAGATTGACACGCCAAAAGGCGATGACAGTCTTAGAGGGATGCGCCCTCAAAACAAAAAAGGGAACCCCTAGGGTTAGCATCGTGACGAGGAGATGCCCAGCACAGGGATCGGGATATGCTCCAGGCTGGCAAGGGGCGCCCACGAGGCGCCCACGGCCGCCCGCCAGGCGCACCCTCGGCAGGCCCCGGCCGGCGCACGGGGAGGCCGCGAGGCGCCCGGGGCCGCCGCCGCCCACCCGACGAGGCCTCGGCAGGCCCGGTGGGCGCACGGGGCTCCCACGGAGCGCCCACGGCCGCCCACTTCAGGGCGAAGCCTCGGCCGACGCAGCCGATCTCGCACGAGGGCGGTGTTTGCCAGCGTGGATCTCCCACAGCGCGTTGCTGCGCGCCGTGCAGCACAGTCGCGGTGCAAGACACGTGGTGCCGGCCACGCGATGCGAGCTGACGGTGTAAGCAGTGCGGTGTGAGCTGTTGGGTGGCATCGATGTATCGTGTAAGCTGTGTGGCGAAGTCTCGGTGGTGCTAGCTAAGTTAAGTCGAGCCTGTCCCTCTACAGGGGGGACATTCAAAAAATAGTCAAAAAAGAGTCCGGGGACTATTTTTTAAACATTTTTTGGCCATCTGGGGGCATTCTCTGAGTCTTTTTTATTCTCCGTCGAAAATCCCCCCGTAGGGGGACAGGCCCGACCCAACGCTAGGTGGTGCAGGCTGCGCGGCCCCGCGAGTGTGCTGCGAGCCCTGCGGTGCCGCCTGCGCGGTGGAAGCTGTGCGGTGCAGGCTCCGTGGTGCCAGCCGTGCGGCCGCCCACGGGGCGCCCGCGCAGCGCCCACGGGGCGGCCGCGGGCGCCCGCCCAGCGAGACCTCGACGGGCCCACGGGGCGCCCACCGGGCGCCCGCAGGGCGACACCACGGCACGCCCGCCCCGCGAGCGGGGCGGCCACGGGGCGCCCGCGGCGGGCCACGGGCGCCCGCCAGGCGGGGCCTCGACGGGCCCACCCGAGTGTTTCACAGCAGCGCAGGCGCTTCTGAGGACAAGCACTACGATGTTCCCAACTTATTTTTTAGCCTTGAGCACCAGAAAGATTTCCGAGCGCCAGAAGAGTACCCACAAATTTGAGGGTTTTCACGTGTCGGGCCCTGGGAGACACTGTTTCGACACCCTTTCGACACTCTTTCGACACTTTTCCGGGTGCTCGAATTTATTTTTGGGATGGGGTCTTCAAGTAAGATGGGAACAACATCAGACAAGCACGGTTTTGGGAATTCGCGGAGGCAGGGCCGTCTTCTGTGGCGCGCACGCCAGAAGCTCCAGAGTAACGAGAGAATGTGCCAGAAACGCGTGAGGGTTTTTGGCGAACTGCGAAGGAAGGCCGAGTTGGGCTGGAAAGCATCGAGCACTAGAAGCCTGTAGCGCTTATGGGAGCTCGAAGAAGTGAGGGGGGGAACCCGTGGGAGCGGAAGCAACGACTCGGGCGAGTTGGCCCGAAGGCGCTTCAAAGTGCACCCACAGGTGAAACTGAAGCTTTAGCTGAAGTGAATTGAAACATGGAATTGGCCAACCTTGCAGGTTTGATTAGCAGGGCATCGTTGAGCGGTGCTGCAGCAACCCCAGAGCACAGCCCCCCCTTCCAGAGCATCAGGCTGACAAGTTGGGTTTGCACCCTCATGCCTTGCTGGACTCTCTAGGCGCGTTTTGGCATTGCCACTGCCACCTTCGCCCCCTCGTCAGGGCTACCGGTTCGGGTGATGGCGGCAGCGACAGTGTCGATACCCGACGCGTCCAAGCCTGGCGGGGTGCAGAACCAGTTTGCGTTGAGCCTCATACCCTCTGGGCCGGACGGGGGGGGAAATAGCAGCAGCAGGGAGGGGCGACAAGACCGACGGGGATAGCAACACAAGAGAAGACAGGACAGGGGGGAACACGAGGCAAGACAAGAGGCAGACAAGTCAGAATTGTGACGCGCAGTGCGGGGTGAGTGAGACAAGCTGGACGAGATAGAAGAAATGGCCAGAGTAGCTGAATTCGAAGATCGCGATTCATTGAAAAGGGCGTCGCTCTGGCAGCTCGGAGAATATGTGTATACATATATATATATATATATATATATATATATATATATACATATACATACATACTATATATATACATATATCTTCACACCACGTTTACGGCCCATCCCTACTGGCCCGTTCAGAAGTCCTGCCCATGAGAGCTTACGGGAAAAAAGGGACGAAGGGACAAACATAGTGAAACAGGTCTCGGCTGATCCATGGGGTCCGTGGCGAGGAGGAGGATGATGATGATGAGGAGGAGGAGGAGGAGGAGGAGGAGGAGGAGGAGGGGGACGGAGGAGGTAAGAGGACGACGGAGGAGGAGGAGGAGGAGGAGGAGAAGGAGGAGGGAGGAGGAGGAGGAAAGAGGAGGAGGAGGAGGAGGAGGAGGAGGAGGAGGAGGAGGAGGAGGAGCAGGAGCAGGAGCAGGAGAAGGAGGACACAAACCGTCTCTTGGGGCCTTCGTGGGACGCGCTTGGGCGCTCTTGGGGCCGTCTTGGGGCCACTTGGGAGCCCTGGAGGGCCTTTTTTTGAGTGGGGGCTATCGATCAACAGGAAAGAGTTCTACATTTGCCTCCCCCGTCCTCGGGCCATCCAAATCGCGTCTTGGGGCGCGATTGGGCCAATCCTGGGAGCACTCTGGGCCGTTGTTGGTACCTCTTGGGCCCCTTGTGGGGCTCTCTTGGGGCTCGCCTGGGCCATTCTGAGATTTCAATAGCGCATCGGAAGCGAAACGGCGAGAAGTTCTCGCCGTTTCGCTGCGTCGTGTGATGTCGCCGAAAACACACGACTCAGCTTTTCCCCATCGGAATAAATCTTTGGCTCGAGGGTTTCGTGAGCGCCGACAGAGCACGGTTTGCCGCTGCTGGAAGGGGGGGTGGGGTCCGGAACCCGCCCCCCCCCCTTCCCCTTCTTTAGGACAATTATACCCACCTAGGGTGGTCCAGAAACCCCCTTGCCCACCCCACCACCCTGGGAAAATTTTGCCAGTGGTCCAGGTGCCTCCCCTCACCTGGCAACGACGACGACGACGACGACGCCGCCGCCGCTGCTTCCGCCGCCAGCAAACGACGCAGACGACGACGACGACGTCGATATTGACGGCGGCGGCGACGACGACGACGACGACGACGACGACCACGACGACGACGACGACGACCATGACGACGACGACGACGACGACGACCACGACGACGATGATGTCGATGACTACGTCGATTACGACGACGACGACCACGGACGACGCCGACGCCGACATCGATGACGACGACGAAGACGACGATGACGACGACACCAACGACGAAACGACGACGACGACGCCGACGGCGACGACCTTCACGACGATGTCACTGACGACTTGCGGGGTGCGAGTGAAGCTGGATTGAGCCGCAGTAGGAAACTATTACAGCTGGATCGAGGCTTAATCAGATTCGATTAGAGCTGAATCCAGCCCCAATACGATCCCATTAAAGATCGATCGAGCCCGAGTAGGATTCTTTTAGAGCTGGATCCAACGCAATTCCATGCTGGATCGAGCTTGAGCAGAAGCCCATCAGACCTGGATCCAGCCCTGATGATTCTAGTAGAGCAGGACCCAGCAGCAGTAGGATTAGATTAGAGATGGATCGAGGGGAGGGGGGTGGGTAATTACCCCCATGCGAAGGGAACATGTGTTTGGAAGAGGGAGAAACTAACCCGGTCGACCCCTACGCCCGAAAGGCTGGTGGGATGTCCAATCCGAGTGGAAGCCAAGCGCAAACCGAACGTCGCACCCCATCCCATCTCCAACACCCTTGTCACGAGAAGGCACCGCGGCGGGTCCGTCACAAACCCAGACATTCATGTTTACCACAACCCCTTTACACCCCGTGTTGTGGTATCACGTGTAGGTGATTTATATCACACGCGTTCGCCATCGTTTGGAAAGGACCGTTGTGCGCTGCCCTACAGAGCTCCCCCCCATCTGACATCGCACGAGAACGGCTGACAGCATTGCGGCGGCGACGCGGCAGGCCGCTCACGCTGCCCTGCGTGGCAGTTGACGCCATTGGGCAACAACGCGGCTCTAGCAGTTCGCGTGCTCTCCTAGCTTCCTCTGCGTCGCAGTTGCTGCCGGCTCGGCCGTGCCTTTTGGTCAGGCCGCAGGCTGGGTGAGGATCTCGTTGGAGCTTCTCAGGTATCAGTTCCTCGACTGCCAAATCAATGGCGAATCAGAAGCGGCCACCGCAGCCGATCCGAAGCGCGTTTTGAGGTGGTCGTGATGTCGGGTGCCCCGACTGGCAAGCTCAGGATCGTTGGTGCTTGGCGCCTGGTTGGCCTGAGCAACTGCGCATTGCGCCCCCGGCGACACAACTTTGAGGTTTTGGGCTGCTTGTCCTGCACTCCTCTTCCCCAGAATATGGCTCGCAGCAGGTCGCCCTCGAGGCAGTAGACAATGCCAATGCTTTCGGGTTGCCCTGGCTCCATCGTAACGCAAATGCGCACGCAGACGGTCCCATGCCCACATGTGCCATTTCGGATTTCGGGCGCAGCCCGCATTTGTTTCTCGCGAGGTAAACTTACTGAGTTGAGCTGAGCTGAACAGACTGGTCGCACCTGTTACGCGACGGTTTTGTTCTCGGCCGCCGAGGGCGCAACTTATGGCGCAACCGATCGGAGACAGTTTTATTCTCGGCCGCCGAGGGCGCAACCTATGGCGCAACCGATCGGAGACTGTTTTATTCTCGACCGCCGAGGGCGCAGCCTATGGCGCAACCGATCGGAGACGCTTTTATTCTCGGCCGCCGAGGGCGCAACCTATGGCGCAACCGATCGGAGACGGTTTTATTCTCGGCCGCCGAGGGCGCAACCTATGGCGCAACCGATCGGAGACGGTTTTATTCTCGGCTGCCGAGGGCGCAACCTATGGCACAACCGATCGGAGACAGTTTTATTCTCGGCCGCCGAGGGCGCAACCTGTGGCGCACCCGATAGGAAACCGAGCTGGAGCAGGAGGAACACGAGGAAGACGAGGAGGATGAGGAGGAGGACGAGGCGGAGGACGACGACGACGATCAGGATGGGGAGGAGGACGGGGAGGAATACGAGTAGAACGAGGACGAAGTGTGGTTATTCGAATACGTGCGGGGCTACGCCCGATTTATGCTCGCCGTTTGGGCTGGCGGTGGGGCCCGAGCGGCGAGGTGTCTTGTGATTATTGTCGGGATGCTTTTCATGTCGTTGCTCTATCTTGTGAAGATCCCTGTGTCGCGGGGGACCCTTGTGAGTATTCTGGGTGCGAGGGCCAAGCCTTCTTATCAGACGCTCTCTTCGCAAATTCATACCCGTCCCCTTTCTATTTACACTTGATGGCAGCAGGCTTCAATTCTAGACGTCGGTCTCCATGCCGATCTCTCGTGTGTCTCTTCGGCACCCGGTCGAGGTTATGTTTTTCCTCATCGCTTCAGCGAGCATCGGTTCACTCCACATCGGTGGGCGAGTTTGGATTCGCACGTCAATTCTTCATGCGCCGTTCGCCTTACGGCCCGTCTCCTTAGTCTGGCGTCTTCTCTCAGGGGGCGATGGCGGCAAGCGAGCGAAGAAGAAGGGCGATAAGCCCAAAAGCAAGAAGGCCAGCACCCAGAAGAGAAAGGCAAGAAAAAAGGCAGACAACCCGCCCCATGCTACAGTGATGGAGGCATCGTGGCAAGATCGTGCTTAGGACGGGCCATATAGCGATGTAGATCTTTTTTTGGCTACCAAGCTGGGCGAGGAACTTGAACACGCAGAAGTACATTGTGAGGTCGATCATTGACCGGGCTCTGGTTTTGTCAGGGCGTCCCGAAGCGACTCTTAGAAAAGGGTGACGTTATGATGTAGGACGTACGACTTGGCACAGGCACCATCATGCAGCAACAGCAAACGTGATCAGGTCGCATGCTACCGTGTGGGGGACCCTGAACCCTTCGATAAAGTGCTTCCAGTTGAAGCAATCAATTATCGCACATGTGTTTGAGCCAGGGTCGGCAGCGGTGCATCGAAGCTAGATCGGGCCGCAGGGTTCCATGAAATCTATGAAGCATCTGGCGGGCATCGCTCCCGATTTCTACCGTAGAATACAGACGTTGTTGCTTTCGGGTGGTTGGTGGGCACGTGCCTCGTAAGGGCAGAAAGGAGGTCAAACAATTCGCACAGAAGCGTTCACCACACAGTCCTGCGGAAACCAGCGTAGACAGACACCACTAAAGTCGATAGATCATGTTGCCCATGAAACATTCGCAAGATAGTCGACATCAGTTATTCATTTGAGGGCGGGGTGGGGGAGTAAGCGAAGGGGTGAACCAGAACGCGTGATGTGGCGAGCACTAGAGCATACCCAAAGCAACAAGCAGTTGGTTTGTTGGCGTGATTCAATGTGTGCGCGCGTGTGCTGAATAGCCTTGAAGGAAGCGTCTAAAGCTACATAGCGCGTTTCTGGGCCTCGTGAGGGGTGCCCTTGAGGCCGTCTGGGCCAACCCGAGAATCCTGGGGGCCCCTTGGGTCAGGGGCACTTCTAGCAACACCCGACGAAGAGGTGACAAGGTCTTGATCGCTTCGGTTTCTTGGGCCAGTCGCGTGGTCTTTCTGTTGCGGCCGCGTGGCGTTGGCCACGCGCTTGCTTGGGATTGCGCGAGTCTGGCCGGCCCGCGCAGCTGGCGTGCTTCCCCTGGGGCGCCAGGCGCGGGCAGGAGCGGGCCGCCGGATCTCGCGCCGGCCCGATCAGTGCAGCTCGGCGTGGCACGCCATGGCATCATTTAGGGGAACAAGAAGCCAGATAAACACAACAAAAAGTCACGCAATGGCATCATTAGGGGGGCAGGTCGCCACAGACCGTGCCCACGAGGCAAAAATAGGAGAACGAAAAGTGACACAAACATAAAAACTCGGAGGTCCGCGCGGATTTCTCGGATCGGCGCTGGACCCCCTTCCCTGGCGCGCGGAGCGCGCCAGGGGCAGCGCCGGAGGCGCCGCCGGGGGGCCCCAGCGCCGATGCCAGCAATCTGCGCGGACCTCCCAGTTTTTGTGTTTATGCCACTTTTCGTTCCCCTAGCAATGGCATCATGGCGCGGCGCGGCAAGGCACCATACATGAGGATTGTTGCAGCGAGAAGTTTCGCGCATGAGGCTGTGTTGCGTTGTTTGATCGTTGCGTGCCTCGCTGCGTGCTGACTCGGCAAGAGTTGTTGACAGGCCGACAAGAAGCCCAAGAAGAGCAAAGCAAAGAAAAAGAGCGGCAAGAAGGGTAACAAGCGGTCGAGCAGCAGCAGCAGCAGCAGTGGTTCGACCAGTCCGGGCAACTCTAAGAGGGAGGGGGGCAAGTATCATTCTCAAGATCAGCTTGTGTCGATTGCCAGAACATGCGCGCGATATCCAGGCCGCAGCCCTGGCTTTCCAGCACCCTGCGCAGCAGTACTGGCAACTTGGTGTCGACATATGGGTCTTCCAATCTAGTGTTCCGTGGCCCACCCAGTGGCGGCCGCCGAGGCTAGGCGCACTCGTGGACGGGCAGAGACCTCCGTGCAAGGGCAGCGCCTCTGCCGCGGTGGCTCCATTTCCAAGGGACGCAAGCACGACCTCTCTTTCAGTCACGGCACAACGACAACACACCTGCGACACAGGAGCTCGCGAAACCAGCGGCGGCGGCGGTATTTTCATCCATCACCAGCCTCGAACTTATCCCTATCCCTAAGATTGACACGCTAAAAGGAGATGACAATATTAGGGATGCACCTTCAGAAACTACGGAAATCCCTAAGATCGCCATCGCGATGAGGCGATGCCCAGCACGGGGATAGGGATACCCACCGGTCGTTGAAAGTAGGTATTTTTGGATTCCCAGAACCCAATCTACTTTAAGCGCCTTCCTATTTCAAGAATCATTACTTTTTGTTTTTTTTTGTGGCGGGCGCAAACCTAATCTACTTCTAGGGTTTGGTTGTCACTTCCCTGGGTGACGCTGGTCGCTCGGCCCCTCGGCTGGCCCCATCTCTTGGTTTTGTTGTTTTGTGTTTGTTTTCGCATGGCCGTCGGCTGCACTGGTCGCCCCAGGCTCGTTCGCCGCCCCGCGGTCGCTCGGCCCCTCGGCTGGCCCAATTCATTGGTTTTGTTTGTTCTTGTTTGTTTTCGCTTGTCCGTCGGCTGCACTGGTCGCCCCAGGCTCGCCCGCCGCCCCGCGGTCGCTCGGCCTTTCGGCTGGCCCAATTCATTGGTTTTGTTTGTTTTTGTTTGTTTTCGCTTGCCCGTCGGCTTCGCTGGTCGCCCCAGGCTCGCCCGCCGCCCCGCGGTCGCTCGGCCCTTCGGCTGGCCCCATTCAGTCGTTTTGTTTGTTTTTGGTTGTTGTCGCTTGTCCCTCGGCTGCACTGGTTGCCCCAGGCTCGCCCGCCGCCCCGCGGTCGCTCGGCCCCGCAGCTGGCTCCGTTCCTTGGTTTTGTTTGTTTTTGTTTGTTTTCGCTTGTCCGTCGATTGCATTGGTCACCTCAGGCTCGCCCGCCGCCCCGCGGTCGCTCGGCCCCTCGGCTTGCCCCAGTCCTCGGTTTTGTTTGTTTTTGTTTGTTTTCCCTTGTCCGTCGGCTGCACTGGTCGCTTCAGGCTCGCCCGCCGCCCCGCGGTCGCTCGGCCCCTCGGCTGGCCCTACTCCGCAGTTTTGTTTGTTTTTGTTTGTTTTCGCTTGTCCGTCGGCTGCGCTGGTCGCCCCAGGCTCGCCCGCCGCCCCGCGGGCGCTCGGCCCCTCGGCTGGCCCAATTCATTGGTTTTGTTTGTTCTTGTTTGTTTTCGCTTGTCCGTCGGCTGCATGGTCGCCCCAGGCTCGCCCGCCGCCCCGCGGTCGCTCGGCCCCTCGGCTGGCCCAATTCATTGGTTTTGTTTGTTTTTGTTTGTTTTCGCTTGTCCGTCGGCTGCGCTGGTCGCCCCAGGCTCGCCCGCCGCCCCGCGGGCGCTCGGCCCCTCGGCTGGCCCAATTCATTGGTTTTGTTTGTTTTTGTTTGTTTTCGCTTGTCCGTCGGCTGCACTGGTCGCCCCAGGCTCGCCCGCCGCCCCGCGGTCGCTCGGCCCCTCGGCTGGCCCAATTCATTGGTTTTGTTTGTTTTTGTTTGTTTTCGCTTGTCCGTCGGCTGCGCTGGTCGCCCCAGGCTCGCCCGCCGCCCCGCGGTCGCTCGGCCCCTCGGCTGGCCCAATTCATTGGTTTTGTTTGTTCTTGTTTGTTTTCGCTTGTCCGTCGGCTGCACTGGTCGCCCCAGGCTCGCCCGCCGCCCCGCGGTCGCTCGGCCCCTCGCCCGCCCAAGGCTCGGCCCCTCGGCCCCTCGGCTGGCCCAATCCTCATCGGCTGGTTCTTGGTTTTGTTTGTTCTTGTTTGTTTTCGCTTGTCCGTCGGCTGCGCTGGTCGCCCCAGGCTCGCCCGCCGCCCCGCGGTCGCTCGGCCCCTCGGCTGGCCCAATTCATTGGTTTTGTTTGTTTTTGTTTGTTTTCGCTTGTCCGTCGGCTGCGCTGGTCGCCCCGCGCTCGCCCGCCGCCCCGCGGTCGCTCGGCCCCCCGGCTGGCCCAATTCATTGGTTTTGTTTGTTCTTGTTTGTTTTCGCTTGTCCGTCGGCTGCACTGGTCGCCCCAGGCTCGCCCGCCGCCCCGCGGGCGCTCGGCCCCTCGGCTGGCCCAATTCATTGGTTTTGTTTGTTTTTGTTTGTTTTCGCTTGTCCGTCGGCTGCGCTGGTCGCCCCAGGCTCGCCCGCCGCCCCGCGGGCGCTCGGCCCTTCGGCTGGCCCAATTCATTGGTTTTG